TCCCCCCCCCCCCCCCCCCCCCCCAGCAGGTCAAAGTTTGTATTTTTTCTATTTTTCTTGTCTGAATACCCAACTGACTGCATTCCTGTTAGCCTCGGCTGTTTTTTTGTCAACACAATCGGAAATAGAAATTGTACATGTTAAACATCGTAAGACATGACATAAGATACACCGTCTTGGGGGCACGCTCATGTGATTGATTGAAAATGAATGAGACATCTGATTGGCTACAGATAATTCCCCGTTGAAAAAAATGCATATTTGAATTGAGCGACATCAGGGGAGTCTCAAAAAACCCACCCACAAATGCAGTGAAGTTCACACATGAAAAGCAGTTTATAAATGCAGATTCAACAGTTTGTATGTAAATGTAAAAACATCCAAAAATGTTTTTGATGAAAATTTCAAATCCTTTTAAATGCAGAAATTTGTGGATTTATTACATTTATTTAAAACAAGAAAATATTTGTGTATGCAGCCGAAATATATTTGTCAAAACCAAGATGGCGACTGCCAAAATTTGCCAAAATTTCAAACTCAAGGATTCAAAACAGTAGTCCACCAACCAAAATGAGAAGTCTCAGTGACTACAGTCGATGGCTGTGTTGCACCACGAGTTTTCTACAGTAGTCCAGAACTGACAAACCAAACACGGACAAACGAGAGCCTTTGGCTATTTAACATTACCTGTGTAACACACATCATAAAACAAAAGCTCAATTCAAGCTCTTCCGGTTACCTGATTGATAACCAGCATATTTTTTGTGCTTCCGATACTCATTTTAAATTGCTATTACTCAATAGTATTGGTTCAGACTATGCAGTGGTCTGAACAAATGGTATCAGTTAGAATTGATTAATTATTTTCATCTTGAAAACATACAAATCCTTTTTTTCGCCCTTATTTTGTGTAATTTGTTGTATTGTCATGTAGGCTATCATCAGTGCTTGTGTCTGAGCCTTAAGCCTCTCAGTCTAAAGTTTCAGTTTGTTAACTGGATGCGGAAGCACCTGCTGTGGTGAAGATTGTTTCCTCTGTGTTACATAAATATTAACCAGTAAGGATGACCACAAGTCAAAAATGTGCAGACATTTTCATTTCTCTTTTGACAGCATCTCTATTTCATTTAACAACATGTGTGTTTGTATAGATGTACTCTTAAAATGATGGGTAGCAAATCCTTAACTTGTGTCCAATATCTCACATTTAAAACATACTTTAATAAGCCTGACATCAAAGTAGTCACAGATCTGTGTTTTTATGATTGTTTGTCAGAATGAAGGGTAAAACTGAAAAACATGCATTTCCCCATTAATTTAATATTCCACTAGTCCACTTAACATTTCTTTTCTTCAGAGTAGTGATTTTGGGAAACTACCTGACACTGACACTCAAAAAAAAAAGAGCTTCACAAATAAGATAATATACAATGAAACAAACACATAGCAACAGTGTTATTGCTATACATAGTGCAGTAAAACTATGGACAAATGACATCCACCTGATGTGAATGAGACACATTACTCTATGTTGTTTTTTCCGTATGTGGAATTATCTTTGCTTGAGCATAAGAAAGAAGGATAAAACCATAAAACAAACATGTACCCTTCCACTGTTCCATTGGATATTATATTTCTTCAGTTTATAATAAGTTTGGAAAACGGCCTGGTCTTGTGAATTTGTCCTTTTTTCCTTTGGCACAGTGAGTTAGTGACTCAGTTCCGGACAGGTTTTTGTATTACCATATATCACTGTGTCCCCCCACTGTATATACACAGTGCTAGATACTCTAACAAAAACCTTTGCCTGATATGGTTCATGGTCAGAATGTTGTACTCTTTGTACACTATATTTCTTACTTTCTACAGTAGAACTATGAAATCATGAAAAAACATCCCACTTTTGCTCCATTATATTTGTAATTTTACCAAATTTATTTTTAATTACCTAATTATCACCGATATTTTTTATACTTTTTGAATATTAACCTGATCCCCTGTGGAAAAGATATAACTTTTTAGCTCATGATATTACATTATTTTCAGTCTTTAAACATTTTCCTAAGAAGAGTCTTATCGGATACGTACAGGCAGCAAAAATCAGTCTCACTTTCTGACTTGTCTGTATCCGCAGCATTTCCTTCTCAGTGGTCGGAGGTTTTTGTTACATGATGTATCACTGTGCCGCTGCTATATCCTGCACTGTGATTAAACTCCATACAAAAACTCCACCCTGCACACTGGCTATCGCGACACACAAATGCTGTTACATTATCTGTGTTTTTCATATTAGTTTAACAAGAAATGTTAAGGTTTATTCATGATGTTTAAAAAAAATAAAGAAAATAATAATAGTCCAATTAATATTCATATTAATTATTGTTATTCAAGTCTCAGCCAGGACAATCATGGGATCGCTTGCATGTGTGTGCGTGTGTGTGTGTGTGTGTGTCTGTCTGTGAGTGACTGTGCACCTCTGTGTCTGTCCACAGCTAATCTCGCCGCTGCAGCAAACTGCATAATATTTAATGTCAAAGACCTCTCGTCGTTGAGGTGATGCACAGTTTTGCCTGTTTCATACTGACATTGACTGCCCGCTGATGCCTCACTCACTGCTCTTAACCGGCCCAAAACGTTTTTCATTTTTAGTGTTGTGGACAGTGTGTTTGGCTAACAGCTAGTGGAATGGAGGGCGTGTTTAGCTAACGGCTAACAGAAAGCGTAACTTTCAGCCACTTCTTTGCAGCCAGATACACGGTGGGGGGAAAACAGTTGGCTCACTTTTACTGTTTTGTTTTGAACGGTGTGTGGACTAACAGCTAACAGAACTACCGGTACACACACCGTTGTACAGCGCTGCAACTTTGCGGACAGCTTAGTGAGTTTAATTTTGTTTTTGGCAAGATTGTGTGAAGTGTATTGTACATCATCTTTGAGCCAGTTGGTTGCATACATTGCTGCTTGAATGGACT